GCACAACAATCTCAAGGGTTTACAGAGAATGGTCTGAAAAAGACAAAATATGCCACTCCTGTCAGCTAAAAACAGGAAACTGAGGCTAAAATTGGCACAGGCTCACCAAAATTGGACAAAAGACTATTGGAAAAACATTGTCTGGTCTGATGAGTCTCGATTTCTGCTTTGGATGGTAGGGTCAGAATTTGGCATCAACAACATGAAAGCATGGCTCCATCTTGCCTTGGTTCAACAATTCAGACTGTGGTGGTGTAATGGTGTGGGGGATACTTTCTTGGCACACTTTGGGCTCATTAGTACCAATAGAGCATCGTGTCGACGCCACAGCCTACGTGAGCATTGTTTCTGACCATCTCCATCCCTTTATGACCACAGTGTAGCCATTTTCTGATGGCTACTTCCAGCAGCATAACGCGCCATGTCATACAGTGCGAATCATCCCAGACTGGTTTCTTGAACATGACAATGAGTTCACTGTAGTCAAATAGCCTCCACAGTCAGCAGATCTCAATCCATTAGAGCACCTTTGGTATGGGAGATTCTCATCATGGATGAGTAGCCAACAAATGATATCATGTCAATATGGACCAAAATCTCAGAGATTCAACCTTGCTGAATCTATGCCCCGAAGGATTAAGGCAGTTCTGAAGGCAAAAGGGGTCCAAAGCGGTAATAGTAAGGTGTACCTAATAAAGTGGCCGGTGAGTGTACTTTACTATATCATGGTTCAAAAACACTATAGTAATTACTATGGTATTTTTTTATGTGGGTTTATTTAAGGATCATGGTACAGCTGTACATTTCTTAACTTATTTCTATCATCAAACCATCAGATTAAAACGCAGTAACGTTAACATTTAGCATTATCATCACGTTACACATGTGATAATGTTACACATTATTATACAGTTTGGTATAAATGTATGTAACGTTAAATAACAATGTAATATTATTTCGCCCATATTTAAATATTTTAGTTATTATATACAGTCAAACTATGTGACTGTAACATTTCATCAAGCTGCAAATGCAAGCTGTTTTTTGCAAAAAAAAAACAGTTGACAAGTTTGTAACAATATTTGTTTCCAATGCAGAATATGAATTACATTGTCAATGAAAAAGAGATACGAGAAAGAAAGACAGGAAAAAAAGAATAAAAAACATGATATAAACTTGAGGGTAAGACATTTAAGAATCAAGAACAGTACGTAAATTAAGGTCATTACAAAATAAAATAGTTCTGTTTGCTTTCTTATTTTTAGATAATGAAATTAATTGTATATAAAGCTCACCTTGATAATGAGCGGGTATCCTTTGGTAACACCTTTAACGTGCGAGGTCAACATGTTGTGTGTTAACAGCTTCATGTCGGCGGTGTGTGGGTATATATTCTAGTATTAAGACTCAAATATTTGGTGATTACAGAAGCGTGGAATTTAAGAAGTTCAGCATAACATAAACACGCGTTTATCACGATGACTGTGTGCAACCGCTGAAACAACTCCCCGAGAAACAAAGCACGGTGTATTGGGTTCCGCTTAGCCTGGCTAACTAACATTAGTCTCAATTTTTTTCCAAGTAAGTTTTAAAGTATAAAGTACAATTGCACAAATGTATGTTTCATAAACTGCTTATTTAAAATGGCATTAATGCCGGCAATTAATTCTATCCAAACTAATATTCAGTATAATTCTATTATAGCTGCTGGTTAGCAATTAAACTCAATAAAACAACACTTGCAGACTCTCGGAGAAAGCCAAACTGTAATTGTATTTATTTTAAGGTTCTCCACTGCTTAAATTGATAGATAAATTATTTAGGGGTATCAACAGAGTCTTTTGGCACGTTTGATATGTTTGGCCTTGTCTGAACTACAAGTACTGTACTTTGTTCTCAAATAATATTTATTTAGTGGCAGTACTAACTGACATTATGCCATCTTTTAAAAACATTTTTCTAAATAATTGAAACCCCATAATAACCATGTAAATATATACTCCCTGGCCACTTTATTAGGTATACCTTACTAGTGCCGAGTTGGACCCCCTTTTGCCTTCAAAACTGCCTTAATCCTTCGTGGCATAGATTCAACAAGATACTGAAAATATTCCTCAGAGGTTTTGGTCCATGATGACAGCATCACACAGTTGCTGCAGATTTGTCAGCTGCACGTCCATGATGTGAATCTCCTGTTCCACCACATCCCAAAAGGTGCTCTATTGGGTTGAGAGATGGGGACTGTGGAGGCCATTTGAGTACAGTCTCACTGTCATGTTAAAGAAACCAGTCTGAGGTGATTCGGGCTTTATGACATGGTGCGTTATCCTGCTGGAAGTAGCCATCAGAAGATGGGTACACTGTGGTCATTAAGGGATGGACATGGTCAGCAACAATACTCAGGTAGGCTGTGGTGTTGACACAGTTCTCAGCTGGTACTAATGAGCCCAAAGTGTACCAAGACAATATCCCCTAAATCATTACATCTCCACCAACATGGCATTTTTGTCCCACAGAACCATAAAAAAAAATGCTAAAGTGTTGTAAATGCTATAATACACTCTAGAATGGTTAAAAAATGCTGTTATATTTATTATATATTAGTGTTTTAGTGTACTATAGTATTTTTTTCATGTGGGTAAAACACACATCCGCAACTGTTAACAAAAAATGCTTGGTTAATGTAGCATTTGTTAATGTAATAACTGCTCAGAAAGCCGAATCCTTTGCTCAGTTGTTAAAAAAAATAGATTTTCTAAGAGAGCAATGACACAAAATCTTCCTTTAAGGAATAATCTATTCATTCCTCTGTTTTAAAATGTACAACAGCAAACTACAACTTTTTTTCAAATGCACATTTTTATTCCTTTTTTTTGTATTAATTAGTTTACACATTGTCTTGGTACTATACAGGTAATTCTTACAGCGTATGATATAGTTGTAATTACAGAAGAAACAAACGCACACTGATAGCTATGAATCACATAGCCTGTCAGTCAACACACACGCACTCGCATGCACGTCCAGACACACTCACACTGAACACACACTGTACATACATGTAAAAACACACGCCAAAACGCACTTCCCTTACACTGTTATGCAATAAACAAAAACAAAGAAGCGAATGTAACGTTACCCACTAAATCTCAGTCGACTGACTGACCCCTCATCTCTCAAATGCTCAACATCTTCATTTTTTTTTTTTACATTTCATTAGTCATTACAAATATGAAATAAAATGTTTTAAAACGTGTAGGAAGGCAACTAATGAGACGAAAGCAAGCATGGTAAATGGCAGATAAAAGGTTGAGTCAATCAAGAGCACGTCTGGGTCACATTTCACCAGAAAATCCAAAGAAATGATATATTGATTGAAGAGAAAGTCATTGTTTTCGGAAGTTTTTCATGGCAATTTAACACATTTCTGTCCATAATTATCATTGTTGTAATTTTTAAAAGTAACTATTACTGCAATTTGGAAGAAAGGATTATAATAGCAAAGCAAAGTCTCTATATATGACCATGGTTTCAAATTAAAACTGTACTAAAGTGTGTATGAGATGTAAATATGCACACTTGTCATGAAAACTAAAATGAGAATTCTCACAAAGTTTGTTTTAAATGTAAACTCTTAGTTGTTCTCATTTCGGGCTGAAATATGAGCTGGACATTTTTTTAAGATTCCCCGAATTCCTCACGACCGCACCACACGAGTAATGAAATTATAATTCGTTTAGGAAAGAACGTTAAAGAGGACAAAACAAGATCTTTATAATGTCGATTTATGGCACAAAGACATAGGGGTTGAGGACCATGTGTAAAAAAACACAAGAGGACGAAGAAGAATCACTTTCTTAGTGTTAAATGACAACTACGGTAACTCGATGCTTTTAAAGGAACACTCCACTTTTTTGTAGTAAACAGGCTCATTTATAGTCAGTGTTTAACAGTTGAGTTTTACCATTGTATAATCCGTTTAGATGATCTGCGGACATAGCAGGAGCACTTTTAGCTTAGCTTAGCATAAATCATTGAATCGGATTAGACCATTAGCATCTCGCTCCAAAATTATTAAAGAGTTTCGATAATTTCCCATGTAAAGCTCAATTCTTTTCTTGTAGTCACAATGTGTACTAAGACTGACGGAAATTGAAAAGTAGCTATAATCTAGGCTAATATGGCTAGGAACTATACTCACATTCTGGTGTAATAGTCAAGGAACTTTTATGCCATAACACGACTGCAGATGATGCAATTATATTCTGCAGCACCTGAAAATAGTACCCAGCTTTGTGAATTCCAATATATTTATCTGCTTGCACAGGGAGCGTGTACCAGTGACGATCCATGATATCATTGCGCCTGCTACAGCGTGGAACGGCAGCAAAGTTTCTTAAATACTACGCAAGAATGAGAGTATAGTTCTTAGCTATATCAGCCTAGAAAATAGCAACTTTTTACGTTTTTAGTACAAGATGCAACTACAAAAGATTCAAGCTTTAAATAAGAAAATATTGAAACATTTGAGCATGATGCTAATGGTCTAATCTGATTCAATGATTTATGCTAAGCTAGTTGAGTTTTACCAATTTTGAATCTATTAAGCTGATCTCCAGGCCTAGCAGGAGTACTTTTAGCTTAGCTTAGCATAAATCATTGAATCAGATTAGACCAATGGCATCTCTCTCCAAAATGATCAAAGAGTTTAGATGACTTCCTATTTAATCTTGATTGCTCTGTAGTTACATTCTGTACTAAGACTGACAAATTGAAAAGTTACTATAATCTAGGCCAGGGGTGTCAAACTCAGTCCCAAAAGGGCCGAAGCCCTGCACAGTTTAGTTCCAACCCTGCTCCAACACACTTTCCTGTAGGTTTCAAACAAGCCTGAAGGACTTAATTAGTTTGATCAGGTGTGTTTAATTAGGGTTGGAACTAAACTGTGCAGAGCTGCGGCCCTTTTGGAGCTGAGTTTGACACCTGTGATTTAGGCCCAT